GAGAGAGAGAGAGAGAGAGAGAGAGAGAGGAGAGAGAGAATAGAAATTACATATGACAGAAAGAGAAGGAAATCGAGAGAGAACTAGGACAAGAGATGTATTAATCCATCCAACACTGTGTGAATTTTGACGTTTGAGGGAGAGAGACAGGCCCTCTCTCAATCACGGTAATTACCCAATTATGACTTAAAATCTCTTTTTAATTATATCGAGCGTTCCTTGTAAATAGGCACTGTTGAATTATTTTTTTAAAGTGCAAGGAAAAAAAATAAGGCTAATGAGGAACCCTTCTGCATACTAAGTGTCGACATGTTGATGCTTTGTCCTTAATGACTCACTCCATTATCTTTTTAAAAAAGAAGAGATTAGGACAAACGAATAATACATAATAATAATAATAAAAATAATAATAACAATAATAATAATAATAATAATAATAATAATAATAATAACAACAATAATAATAAAACGGCAAAAGAATTTCTAATGAGGTTAATTAATTGATTTTGTGATCCTCCATGAATGCTTTCTAAAGTCACTGATACTCAAAATTTCATCGATATCTTTGTTTTGCAATCTTTAGCAAAATATGGATAATGTTTGTAGTTATTAACGCTTGGTAATAAAATACATGCAAACCTTCGAATACTGATACATAAGAATATGAGCAATGCATTATTGAGAAATATGAGGTATCATATTAACCGCTAAGGATTATCAGCTACAAAATATAAATATGACACCAACGAATCATATATAAAGGAAGAAAAAAATCTAGTGATTAAGAAATATTCAACATTGAAAAATATCCAAACCAATCCGTGACATCATCAAATTTGCATAAGTGGACAGTATGTTCAATGTGTTGGGGGTGGGGTACATAGCTTGGACTTTTTACATAATTTTAAATAAAGAGATTCTAAATTGAGTTTCAGAATGGAACGTAAATAAGTTAAGTAGAAAGAATGGCAATAACTTTGTGCCACCAAACTAGAAAATGTTCAAGTCATGCTTGTTGAATGTCTATGACATTTTACAAAAGAGTAAATATACGAATTTGAAGCTTAACATTTCAGAAAATGAAGATTAGAAATAATACAAAGTAAAACATATTGTAAATAATGATAGCAATTACATTCGGAAAAGTCTTACGAATAGTTTCAGGTGCAAATATAAAGATCAAATATGGCAATTCTGAACACCATACTGTCTTCAGCCATTTTGATGATGTCACGTCGTATCAAATATTGACATAAAGAAAATAGAAACGCATCCAGAAAGAGACAGGTAAGGGCAGAGAATTACCGGTGCGTAAGCGGCTGCGGCGCTGTAGCCCCCGAGGGCGAAGGGGTTGAGGAGTCCTAGGGGTCCAGCCATCTGTTGCATGCGGCGGAGTTGTCTTTCCTTCTCGGTGTCAGCGAACTTGACCACAAGACTGGAGGAGGCGCCCTGGAACACAAGACATGGATGCCGACATCTTGCTGGGAGGCTAGCTTTTTGTTTGGTTGTTTTTGTTCGTTTGTTGTTTTTAATAATTTTTGGAGGGTTTTCTGGTTTTAAAAATTATTATTTTTTGGTTTGTTTGTTTTAGTAAGGGTTTTAGGGTACTTGTAACACAATTTTTCAAAATAAGAGCTTTACAACACTTGCAATACAGCCAGGTCATATAAGTGCCGAAGGTTAGAGGTGTTACAAGAGAATTTTTTTTAAACCACTGAAAGGAAGAAAGATAAGGACAATATTTATTTGGTAGGGAAGAAGCGAACCACACCAGAGCACCCACCAACCACCCGCAATTAAAAATTAGTTTTTTTTTGTTTCGTTTTGTTTCGTTTTAGTAAGTAAAGGGAGGCTCTTGCGAAACAAATAGGTCCTATAAGTAGAGGGGTTACTTGAGAGAACCAAACAGTGCTACAAGGAGGGGAGACAATGACAATAGGGAAATGTTGGATAAGAAACATTAAGCAAACCATTCTAATTACAGCACAAACGTATCCCCGTTTTCCTCTCTTTCCTTTATTTCTTCCACTTCACTTTCTTTTTAGATTCTCTTCTTTCAATTAAAAAAAAAAGAAACAGTTTCTTTTATTCTTACTTTCCCACTATTTTTTCTATTTTCTTTAGCTCGTTCTAGTTGCAGGTAAATAAATGTTGGATATTTTACATCCATCGACACAATGTAAACCATTTAAGTATCAACCTGGGCAGAGAGAGATACAACGTCCCAACACAAAGACCTGGATACATTTGATAAATAGTATCCCCACATGAGAATCAAAACCAGGTCCTCTGCGTGTGACGGTGGAGCGTCTAATCACTACACCACGGACGCCCTCAGAGCCTCCTTACTCAATACAGGGACGCAAATCAATGACAGAGAAAAAAAACAACTGAGAAACCACA